GCAAAGTATAAAACGAAAGGTCGGTGACCTAAGTTACGCTTCCTCTAAGCGCAACGCTACGGCAGCCCCGCTGCACAAGGAGTATACCATTGACACATACACATATCGGACAGGCGACCGAAAAGCCCTAGCTTGTGCCGCATTCTATCGGACCATTTGAGATTTATCAAATCATCGATGATAATGCCAAAGCTCAGTGTACCCGAATCGATGTATCGTGGTCATAATGTGTTTGATGTGGTTTGATTAAGATTTACAAAAAAATCCGGATCCATTTTAAACGCGACCTATTATAAAAGTAACAACGACGATTTAGGCGAAAAAGAAATTGTATATCGTGAAAGCCTTGCTCAAGAAGAGACAAGTAAAATGTAGAATGGCTGAAAACATAACGTTTCGTGTGTACCAAATGTAACCAACAAGCACGTGAAACATTTCAAGTGTCTAGCTCAAGATTTGAGACAAAAGAGTGCTAAGGAACAAACAAGATAGAAACAGCCGTAGCTAGATATCAGAGGGATAACGAATGATGTCCTGAATTCATATAGAATATTCATGATATGACGCTATTGGATGTGATTGGATCGTCAGATAGGGAGTTTCATAAATAACAATAAAATAACATTTATGTACTTGCCTTTATAGAATTAATTCTCTTTTCGTTTTGCCAGCTACCGCACACGTAAATAAGAAAAAATTTCTTGCGCATAACAGTGCAAGAAAGTAGTAGGCAGTTGGTTCTGTTACATACATATTCTTGATTGGAAGTCCGCAACACCAAGCCCCTTTACTTGTCCTAGCGATGCCAAATCCTGGAGATAGCGGCACACAGTTGCTTTTGTTCGTCAAACCAAAAATAATCGCCAGGATCTCAGCTCACTGCTGCAATTATTCTGCTCCTCACAGTTATACTCTACGGGTAACGACATGCCGACACTAGCCCCCTTATGCTATCTGGGTCCAGTCCAGGGATCATTGCAATATTTGCAGAGGTGGCGACCTATTGCAACTCCACTACGAGAGAAGAGCATGGCACCCGGTGTCTTCAACTATCCAGTCGATCTATGGCTCACGGCGTTCCAGCTAGATCATACCTAGGTTGAGATCATATTGTGGTCCTGATCTAAATTTGTTGACGTTCTCAAAGTCCCCAACATTTGAAACGTTCAATCAAAACTTCGACAATAATATCCTCAATTTGTTACCCTCAGTGGTGTCTACCGTTTTCGACTCTTGCTCATAATACGTAAGTTTGCGATGCCTAGAAACAATTGGGACTGCATGGCTTCACATGACCCGAATATTAATGTTAAACTTCGACAACTATGGGCTTTAAGCTACACCTATGAGTAGGAATCCATTCTAGGTACGCAAGTCAACGTGGACTGGTGAAGTAAATCTTTCTCTGCGTAAGATGCACGGTAACTCTTTTGCACGTGATAGCAGTTGTCGTAAATTCGACGACCGAGTCTTAATGAGCGGTATCCTCTGTATAAATTAAATACGACATTTTGTTCTATTTGTCCTCTGAACAATAAGACAAGCTGAAAGAGCTCATGTCTACAACGGCAGTGAAAAAAGTGACAATTGACGGCCCAACGCCGAAAGCGTGAGTTGCTTGCCTGAATACGTTCAACAGCTTAAAAAATGCGCTACTGTCACTTTCGATAATACTTCAAATTTCCCAGTCCAAGAGCAACCAGTCCCATCGCTAGTCTGCTTATCCAGTAAGACGTCGGTAAGCAAAAGGTGCCTGATTTCGGTAAGCTAGCAGGACATTACCTATTTGGCATCCTCTATGACGTCGTATGTTCAGGCGTGGAAGTGGAATGGGCATACTGACAGTAAAACTTCGATATACTAAACAATTTGAAATTTTCTTCCCAACTCGTTGCTTCTTCCTCTGCACAGACTTTTCATCACGCTCCGCTCCGCACCATAAACATCGGCATACTTGCTCTTTAATTCTTAAGGAGTTAATATCAACATAGCAAAGTCTTCAATCTACAGCATCGTCAGTAACATGACAGGATAACAGGAAATATCTTTTGTATGTCTTTGAGGCTGCGAAGCCTGAGCTATGAAGCTAAACACGCTCGACTTGGCAGTACATGTGATCTATCAAAAATGGATAGTTGTTATCTTTCTGTGCAGCGCGCTGCGGTTGCTTGAAAATCTTGCAAACTTGCACTAGGCACTCAGCAATCCAATCTCCACCCTTGTCACAGAAGTAACAGGTGATACTTTTCTATGCCAGTGCTATTTCACATTTACACGTATTCATTTGTCTAGATGATTTATTCCTCATTTGTGCACAGCTCCATTGATGCCCCCCTTTGTCCATCCACTTTACATTCTCATGGAGAATCTAAAACAACACAAAATGTGCGGGTGGTGCTTTACAATCTAATGCACCGCATGTTCTCGTGCGTAGCAGCATACTACGAGGTCCATGGTGTCATGATGTGGTGATTTGTTATGATGAGCGCGCTCATTGTGATTAAAATATCAGCTAGATCCCACATAAGGAGAAACTCTTCAAATGAATCTTCTAAAGGGTAGCATATGGCTTCGCTGCGGTGGTGCCCGAGTAATCGCCGCTGTAAATTTGGGTCTAACGTATGCTTACTGTACATCATACGAAGGAACGATCGGCTGGATGCCGCATTTAAGCCAGTTGCAGAGTAATTGGCAGCCACAATGCTGATTACTGGTCCAGCTCTATTTTAAGAGTGAAACCACGGCTCACGCCCTTGCCTCACGCCCTTGCCTGATACAAGAACGATGGTTGGAACGCGCTAGTGTTAACGAGCATTTATCTCAAATCATGTTTTGACCTTGATTCTATGATGTCATGAGCCACTGAAACGGGGTTACGCAATGACATGCGGTCGACATACCATATATCCTGTCCAGGTTTTTCTGTGACATTGTATGTTGTATTGCACAAACGCAAACCATGCCTTAACGAGATTAAGGGTTGAACAAACTCATTACTGGTATT